AGCACTTGAAGAATCTGAAAAACCACATCGTCAGTGTCCACTGACCAGTGGACAAGAAGGTGGCCAAGTGGGAATGACTTGGCACTGATTCCTTAACAATTCTGGAAGCTGCAATGAGGAATAAATCCTCCTGTTCCTGCTTGGGATCTGTTTGCATGTTTGTACTTGCTCTAATGTTAATCTGTACAATATGCTGGGCAGAATAACCTCTTTTGCTTTCCTTTTGTCAAAAAACATTGAGGTCCTATTTTGCACTCATAAAACAAAACAAAAATGAAAAATTCATTCTAACAAAAAGAATAAAATTGATAAAATTGAGTAGTAAGGATATTTTCCATTTTTCTGTACTCCCTATCATTTATTAGGCAACTAGTATTAAATCTTGCTTTGTTGAAGACAGCTACTCAAGTTTACTTGTGGTTTTCATTGGAATACTATGCAGCACTAAAAAAGAAGTAACTCCTACCTTTTGTGACAGCATGGATAGAATTGGAGACTATTAGGCTAAGTGAAATAAGCCAGTCAATGAAAGACAAATACCATATGATCTCACTTTTAAGTGGAATTGAATGAACAAATAAACTAACAACCAAAATAGAATCAGAGACATGGAAACATGGAACAGACTGAGAGCTGTAAGGAGAGTGGGATGTGGAGACTGACTGAGAGAAGGTGAAGAGATTGGTCAAAGAACATACATGCATGGCCCATGCATCTGGACAACCATGTAGCTATTGACTGTGGGAGTGGGGGACTGGCTGGGTAGAGGGGGGCTAAGGGGAAAAAATTAAGATAACTGTTATAGCATAAACAATAACAATTTTTAAAAATCTACTTGTGGTATTAATGTGAATTTAATTTCCAACACATTCCTTCTTTATTATTCTTTGAAGCCTTTTTATGTGAAATATTTTACATATACATAAATGTATGGTTTAGTGAATTATAAAATAAATATCTATATAAGCAGCATTAAAAGTCAGAAATAAAATCTCAAAAGCACTCTCCCCCAAAGTTCTGAACCTGACTCCCAGAGCTGACCATTCTAACTTTATGGTAATCACTACTTTGCTTTTTTTTAAAGATTTTATTTATTTATTTATTTATTTATTTATTTATTTTAGAGAGAGAAGGGAGGGAGACAGAGAGAGAGAGAGAGAGAGACATCAATGTGCGGTTGCTGGGGGCCATGGCCTGCAACCCAGGCATGTGCCCTGACTGGGAATTAAACCTGCGACACTTTGGTTCACAGCCTGTGTTCAATCCACTGAGCTACGCCAGCCAGGGCTACTAGTTTGCTTTTTATTCAGCTTTCTCCGCTACGAATGCATCCATGAATTTAACAGGTCAATTTTGCCAGCTTTAAATTTTTAGATATAAAATCATACAATGTGTATTTTTTTTACTCAGTATGTATTGTTAAGGTGCCTATGTGTCATTTCATGCAGCTGTAGTGCACTCATTTTCACTATTGTGCACTGTGCCAGTGTATGGAACACCACGGTTTAATGAGCCATCCTGTTATTTCCAGTTTGGGTGCACATGAACTCCCACTTTTTTAGGGTAAATATCTAAAAGTGAAATTACTGAATCACAGGATACACATATTCTAGCTACTGTCAAACCATTTTCCCAAAGTGGTTGCTCGACTTCACACTCCCATGCGCAGCTAGAGGCCTGGCTTTCCATCCTCTCCAACGCCAGACGCCATCAGATACTCTGCCTGTCTGGTGAGTATGGAGTCATATCCACTGTGGCTTTCATTTGTCCTCTTCCAATTAGTGATGAATTAAGCACCTTTGTAATCAATAAATATTTACTGGCCATTTGGATTTTTTGTTTTATTTTTTAAATTTCCATGGAATGAATAGGGGTGACATTGGTTAATAAAATTACATCGGTTTCAAGTGTGCATTTCTGTATTACATCATCTATATGCTATACTTTGTGTACACCAGCCGAAGTCAAGTTTTCTTCCATCGCCATTTAGCCCCCCTTTCCTCTCTGCTACCTCCCCACGCCCCCTTCATCTGGATTTCTTTTGTTAAATTCCTGTTCAAATCATTTGTCCATTCTTTCATTAGAGTCTTTCCCTTGATTTGGAGAAGTTCTTCACCTATTCTTGGCGATATTTGTTGCAAATATCTCCTTCCACTTGATGGCCTGCCCTTCCTCACTTCCCAGCTTTGGGAAGCAGGCCTGGCCTGATAGCAGCCTCACCAGAGCCCTGCGGGTCCCGGGGCTGCCCCGCTGCCCCATCCTCGACGTTCCCACCCTGTCCGCTTGAGCAGACGGTGTAGCCTCCCCGCGGTGTGACCTTGCTCAGGGCGGGCCACGCCGGCGTCGCTGGGGGCCTCGGTCTCCAAAGCAACGCGGGGAGACGCTGGCGGGCAAGGACCCGGGCGGTGCCCAGCGAGGCCGGGCGGGGCGGCGGCGCCAGGAGGAGTCGGGGCTCGGGGTCGCGGCGGCGGAGGAGCGTGGGGCAGGTGAAGGCGGTTGCACCCGGAAGGGGTGGGCGGTGCGCCCCGGGGACGGAGGCACGGAGGGGAAACGGGACCGGGACCGGGACCCGGGAAACCTCAAAGGAGCCAGTTCCCGACGGCATTTAGGACCCGGACAGGAAGGGCGGACCGCGGCCGAGGCAGGAACTAGGGTCTGGGGGCCTGGGGAGTGGGTGGGGCGACGCGCCCGCACCTGAGCCGGCTTTGGTGCCCAGACTCTGGGAGACCGCTCTGTCCTCGGTTAAGAGTGGTCTTGGGCTCCAGCCCCGTCGCACTCCGGCGCGTGTACTGGAACTTAAACCGCCCATGCTGCCTCCCATGCTTTGTCCATCAGAGAAAAAGCAAAGGGAGAAAACAAATCCGAACGCGCCTATGCGCAGCTTCTGGCCTTTTCCAAAACGGCAACTTTTTCTCTCCCATTCATCTCGGTGAGCGCAAGCGGGGTTCCCTTTCACTCGCCGCAGGAAATTGATTCCTCCCAGGGCTAGCGGACTAGACCCGCGGTATCCCTGTGGGTCTTGTTTACCGAGATTTGTCAGTCTCTCTAGGTCAGGAACTTAAGTAGAAAACTGTTTGGGCCGCTAGGGAGCCACCTCCATTACTTTGAAAATTCTCCCTTTTTCATTGAGCCGACCTACCGGCTTCAACTGCTGTAGGGCCGGCCCCGTGTGAGGTTAGGTAGGCCTCCGCAGGATACCCAGCTCGACCTGTGGTATTTGGCTTTGCTTTATTCCTGCACTCACAAACGTCGTTAATCTGTGAACAAAAAAAAGTATTACTTTTATGGACATTTTTTATTGATTAACTGCAACATACACTATCTCATTTAAGAAAAGAAGTTGAAGAGACTAATGTCATGAGGAAGCATTTTCCAAATTGAAATATAGTGACTGTTTTAAGCTTTTTCTTTAAGACCCCTAGTACAGTGACTTGAAGTCGTGCAGTAAAACGTTTTAAAACCTTCGGTGACTTGATTGATTTGCTGCTTTGTAAAAATGTCCTTAAAAACAACAGTTCATCAGCTTGCCAACTTTAAATTAACACAGTAGAATGAAATAGACGTTATTTTTAAAATGAGAGACAATACAGCAAACCAGTCTGTACACTCGACAATAATATTTCCATATGAATGTTACCTTTTGTCTGTTTTGTTTGCTAGGTGCTTTTCTCCAAGGAATTGATGATGTTTCTTGGGAACGTTAGCAACAAAGTCAACATAAGCAATGCCAGGAATAGGAGTAAGGTCATGTTTAATTAAAATTAGGATCTAGCAAAAAAAAAAAAAACCCCCCCAAAAAACCAAGAGCAAACCTTTTAAAGCAAATTTTGCAGTAATCTCTGATGTGGAAGGTTTCTGTAATCTGACCTAGAGAAAAAAATGTCATAAAGGCAGTGAGAGAGAAGACAGACCAGAGAGAAATGCTGGGTGGAGATGAAAGGGAGCACAATCGGAAACCATCATCTCCTTTCAGTCTGCGGTGAACTCAAAGCACCCTTTCCATAAACCGCCTTCTGGGCCCTCACAACAGCCTTTCAAGGCGGGGAGGGCTCACTTGCAGTGACAGCCTTAACAGAGTGAGAAGAGACCCCAGCTATTGTTCAGGCCGATCTCCCAACACCCCCTGGGGCAGCATCTCTTCCAGGTAGGTGGACATTCAGCCTCTGCTGTGAATTGCTCAGTGGTAGAATTCACAAGATGGCCAAATCTTTTGTTGAATAGTTAACCATTTATATATATATATATATATATATATATATATATATATATATATACACTGTATTGAGGTTGATCTCCCTGTAACGACCCCCTAAATTACACATTCTGATCTAGTAGCAACCTGGATACCAAAAAGACCTCCCAATGACGAAGCTAGCCAGTGCAGGTCTAGGGGTCTAGGAACCAAACAGCTTCCCTCTGTACAGTTCTGACTATGGAAACCACACTCTTGCTCTCTCTGCCTCCTCTGCTTTCCAGAAGACAGACCATGAACCTGTTTTATTGTGTCCATGAATACAACTGAACAATGGCATATTTGTACCAGTGCCCTGGGTATTTGAAATAAGGCCATCAAAGTCCTGTCCATAATTACCACTTGGCATGTCCAGGCTTATCTGTCAGAGGGCCTTGGAAGCTGGAGAAGGAATGTGCTTCCACAAGCCATTTGATTTCCTCAGTGAAGTAAGTGTCCCTTGATTACCCAGGCTGGTTTGAAGCTCTTCATCACATGTATTCCTCCAGAGAGAAAAACACAATGATATTGCCAATAGACCTTCCTCTCACACACAAAAGGGTGCATATGAAAGCCTGCAGATAATACAACAAGGTTTTTGTCCTCATCTAAATTTTTGATTAACATTGCAATTAAAGAGATTTCAGTAGTCACCGAGTAACATAAATGTAATTTTTTTAGGTAATGCTTTTGTGAACCACAACTTTAAATATTCAGCCAACTGCTCCTATCAACAAAAGTATCCCTGTTAATTTTTGTATTTTTCAAGATGAGTCATAGTAAATTAATTCCCAAGCTATCTGTTCAATCTCCTGTCTATCATGCCAACTTAAAAGTTCAGTCCACAAAGTTACCTTTTAAGAAAGAAGACGAACATCTGATTTCAAAAGACTCCCTGGAAGCTGATTCAGAAAGCCTCACTCAAGAGGTTAATTCCCCATCTGAACTTGAAGACAGAATCCAGGACCACAATGTGGAGACCGACAGCTTGGAGGAGGAAAGCCGTCCACAGGATAGCCTTAGTGAGACAGAAGAGGAAGCAAGCAGAAAAGCAGCTCAGGTGGCCAGCAAGGACAACCTCCGTTCTTGGGATAGTGGCATGAAAAACAGGTAAGAAGCTGTCTTGTATAAGATACCAGTGCTTTCTGAAATGTTACATAATTACGGGCCATAATGCTGTTTGAGAGTGAGGTCAGGCCCCCATAATGAGCCTGTTATGTGTGTGAGCTAGGTCTCCATGCATCAGATGGCAGCTCAGAGCCAGGCTTTTGGCCATAGTCATTGTTTATATTAAAAAATATGCAAAAGGCAAGGAGAGGTATTAATAAGGGCATTTGCTTTTCTTGTGTTCCTTACTTCCTGTCCATATTCCAAGTGTCTCCACTGCTAATATAGAAAAGTGCCATAGCTTGGAGTCAGGTGGCCTCAATTCGGTCCAGGCACTGCTGTTTAGTGTATGATGTAGAATAATTACTTATCTCTTTCACATCTCACTTTTTCTTACCTGTTAAATGAACCATCTTGTCTTTCTCCTAGGACTGCTATAAAGGTCTGTAAAGTACATTCTGGGGTTAGGTACCTCCCCCAGGGCTTATATAATCATATAAAGATTCAGTTGCTAATAATCAGTATTTTTGTATCCTCACCTCAGGACATTTTTTCATTGCCTTTAGAGAGAGGAAAGGGGAAAGAGAGAGAGAGAGAAAGGGAAACATCAACTGGTTGCCTCCTGTATGTTTCCCAACCAGAGATCAAACCCACAACCTGGGTATGCGCCCTGACTGGAAATTGAACCTGCAACCTTTTTGGTCTACAGAATGGCGCTCTAACTGAGCCACATGGCCAGGGCTCTAATAATCAGTGTTGATGAGGCATTAACTTTATGCTATGAGCTACCAAACTATAAGGAAAAATAAATTTGTGCAATATTAGTCCTAGTTTTAATGAAAATGTAAATGTGATAGAATATAGAAGTTAAAAGCTATTGATTAGAAAGATGTTTTAGTGCGGTGGTGAAGTACATAGAGTCTGAAACAGACCATGGGGTTCAGATTCTTCCACTTACTAGCTGTATGACCTTGGCCAAGTCCACTTAATCTCTCTGTGCCTCCATTTCCTCATCAGTAACAATGGGATAATAATAATGGTTACTTTGCATAGTAATTGTGACACTAACATAAATTAATATATAAAATATATAAAGTACTGAGAACAGAGACTGACTGTGTTGTATATGTGTTAGATTTTTTTTAAAATTAGGGGTAAAATATATTCAGGAAAGTTTATTGACACTCCTAGAACTTGGGTGGGTAGGGTTTTGGAGACAAGGTAGACTTGGCAAAACAAAACAAAACAAAACAAAACAAAAGTGATGTGTGTGACATAGTAAGGAAAACTGCTTGATGGCAGAGGGTCTGTTCTCAGTGTAGGGAAGGTGCGCTGAGTAGGGGCCTGATCATAGAGGCCATACTAGAGTGAAAACAGCTCCTACTCCAACAGGGCACCAAATACAGAACTCAGATGACTCATCCAGGAACACAGTCACAGCAAGGGCTCAGGGCTCTTTTGGAACAGAATTTGAGCATGGTCCTCAGCCTTTTTTTTTCCATTTCTTCTTTCCATCCTTCTTTTATTCACTGGGAATGTTGAGTTGAATCAAGTTTACAGGGGATCTCAAAATACATTACAAGTGAAATTCTGTCAATAAGGCACAGCCCCAGTGCTGAGGGCAACAATGGGCTCAGGAATGCTTTAGGCAGCCAGCCACACCTGGTGACTGGAGGGCCTGCCAGGAGGAAAAGATGCAGGTGCCTGGGGAGGGCAGTGAGGTAAAGCAATGTTTTTATTTAAATTATATTTTACTGATTATGCTATTACAGTTGCCCTGATTTTCCCCCTTTGTCCTCCTCTAACCAGCACCCCCCACTCCCTAAGGCAATTCCCCCACCATGGTTCATGTCAGTGGGCCATGTGTATAAGTTCTTTGGCTACTCCATTTCCTATACCACACTTTACATCCTCAAGGCTATTCTGAAATTACCTATTTGTACTTCTTAATTTGCTCACATCCCACCCATTCTGTTACAACTCCCTCCCATCTGGCAACGATTAAGACACTCTCCTTATCCATGATTCTGTCTCTCTTCTTCTATTTGCTTAGATTGTTTTTTAGAGTCAATTGTTGATAGATTTGTATTTTTTGCCATTGTTCATAGTTTTAATCTTCTTTTTCTTAAATAAGTCCCTTTCACATTTCATCTAATAATGGTTTGGTGATAAGCTCCTTTAGTTTTTTTCTTGTCTGGAAAGCTCTTTATCTGACCTTTGATTCTAAGTGATAGCTTTGCTGAGTAGACAAATCTTGCCTGTAGGTCCCTGCTTTACATGACTTTGATTTTTTTTTTTTTGCCAATTCCTCTAGTTTCTTTTGAGAAATCAGCTGAAAGTCTCATGAGAACTCCCCTGTAGGTAGCCAGCTTCTTTTCTCTTGCTGCTTTTAAGATTCTCTCTTTATCTTAAAGCTTTGGCACTTTAATTATGATATATCTTGGAGTGGTGCTCTTTGGGTCTATCTTGTTTGGGACTCTGTGCTTCCTGGACTTATATGTCTATTTCTTTCATCAAATTACGGAAGTTTTCCTTCACTATTTTTTCAAATAGATTTCCATTGCAGTCTCTTTCTCTTCTCTTTCTGGCACCCCAATGAGGTGAATGTTGGACCTCTTAAAGTTGCCCCAGAGCTGCTTATACTATCCTTATTTCTTTATTTTTTGGGGGGATTCCTTTTATTCTTGTTTGATTGCTTGTTTTTTGCTTCCTTATGTTCCAAATCAGTGATTTGATTGTCAACTTCCTCCACTCTACTGTTGTTTCCCTATAAATTGATCTTTATTTCAATTAGTGAATCCTTTGTTTCTGACTGAATCTTTTTTTTCAATTGGTTGTTTTACTTATTTATTTTAAATATATAATCTTCATTATAATTTTTTACATTTAGTACCTTATACCCCTATCCTCACAGCAGTCACTACACTGGTGTCCATATCCATGAGTCCTTTATCCTTTTTAATCAATCTCTCCACCCTCTAACCTCCCCCCGCCCTGCCCAACTAGTTGTCACCTGTTCTCCATCTATCACTCTGTCTCTGCTTTGCTTGTTAGTTCAGTTTGTTCATTAGATTCCACATATGAGTGAAATCATATGGTATTTGTATTTATTTGTATTTCTCTGACTGGCTCATTTCACTTAGCATAATGTTCCCCAGGCCTGTCCATGCTGTTGCAAAAGGTAAAATTTTCTTTTTTATGGTCAAGTAGTATTCCATTATGTAAATGTCCCATAGTTGTTCTATCCACTCATCTATTGATGGATACTTGGGCTGTTTCCATATCTTGGTGATTATAAATAATGCTACAATGAGCATAGGGGTGCTTATGTTCTTTTGAATTAGTGTTTTCATTTCCTTCTTATATATTCCCAGAAGTGGGATTGCTGGGTCAAAAGGTAGATCCAATTTTAATTTTTTGAGGTATCTGCATACTGCTTTCCATAGTGGCTGTACCAATCTGCATTCCCACCAACAATGCAAAAGGGTTCCCCTTCCTCCACATCCTTACCAGCACTTGTTGTTTTTTATTTATTGATGATAACCATTCTAACAGGTGTGAGATGGTAGTTCAATGTGGTTTTATTTGCATTCTCAGGTGGTTAGTAATGTTGAGCATCTTTTCATATGTCTATTGGCCATCTATATGTCTGACTGGATTTTTTTATGTTGTTGAGATCCTAAGTTCCTTGAGCATCCTTATAACCAATATTTTGAACCCTGCATGTGATAGATTGCGTATCTTCCTTTTGTTTACTTCTTTTTCTACAGTGTTGATCTGTTCTTTCATTTGGGCCATGTTTTTTGTCTCCTCATTTTGGCAGCCTCCCTGTGTTTGTTTCTATGTATTAGGTAGAGCTGCTGTGACTCCCTGTCTTGGTAGTGTGGCCTAATGTAGTAGGTGTCCTGTAGGGTCCAGTGGTACAGCCTCCCCTGTCACCCAAGTTGGGTGTTTGAGTTATGCCCTCTGTGAGGGCTGAGTATACTGTCCTTTGTAGTTGAGCCTTGGTTGCTGTTGGCAGATCAATGGGAGGGATTTACCCAAGCCAGTCAGCTACAAGAATTGCCTGTGACCACCGACCACCAACCTCCACCCTCTGTAGATGATCAGCTGTGCAGGGGTAGGGTGGTGGTACTCTCACATGGTCTGTAGCTGTCCACTGGGTACACAGGCTCTGGGGTTTCCTGGGTGGTGTAGGCCAAGGTCAGCCACCACCTGTGTTTTGCTTGGGGCCATCCTGCCTGAGCTATAAAGCAATCTGAGATGGCTGCTACTTGTGCTGGGCTTGGAGATTCACAGGTAAAGCCAAGCTATGAATCTAGTCTGTCTGCTGCTAGTGCTGGGCCTGGGGCCACTTAGTAAGAGGTATGGGGGCTGGGGGCTCACTGAGGCTGGCTGTTGCTTGTTTGAGAGGATTTAGAAGTTGTGAAGCATGAGCCAAGACCAGCCATTCATATGGAAAACTCTCTGTTAACAGCTTGGGTGGGTCTATAAGTTATGTGGGATCACCAGGGTAGGGCAAACTATGTTAGTCAGGTTGATGGAGTCTCAAATATGGCACCTGCCTGTTCTCTTCATGAGTGGAGGGCTCAGAACAAGGACAATGGTTTCTACCTGCCTTTCTGTATGAGAGAAAGCTGTCCCCCAGCTCTTGCCTCGATGCCAGACACTTCAGTTCCCCCTTGTATGCCTTTGGTGCCTTTCAAGCTGTTATCCCAGTGCTGGAGCTCCGAGGGAGTGAATCTGAGTAAGTCCATGTGTGGGTTCTTTAAGAGAAACTGCTTGAAACTACAGAAGTTTCTTCTAGAAATGCAATTCCTGCTGGTTTTTGCAGCCAGAAGTTATTGGGACTTATCTTCCTGACACTGGAACCCTGAGCTGGGGGCCTGGTGAAGGGCTGGGACTCATGGCTCCTGAGATATTCCTCCCAAATTTTTATCCACCACATGTAGCTTTGGGACCAGCCCATTCTATGTCTCCACCTCCTACCAGTCTGGATGGAT